GTGAAGTGCAGAGATCCCTTGGAGCTCAAGCCTTCGCCCTCCACCTGGCGAAGGTTTGGGCAGACAAGTGAGGTGCAGGGGGTGGGGATCCAGTTAAGGTTGACACCAAATATTCATCACCCCCAGTTTATTAAATTCGGGGGGGTGTTTTAGGTGTTTCCCCTCCGAAAGTGATGGTTCCCGTTTGGCTAAACTCAGGGACACCCCCCTGCTAAGAAAGAGGGGGTGATGAATATGGGGGCGACATTGCTAGCCAGGTAAGGTAGGTAACCAGCTTGGGAGGGAGGTTACTAAGTGGGGTCGGACGGCCGATTCGCGAACTTCGCGGTTGCCACGAAGCTCGGCGACATCGCGGCCAACAAAGCGTTGGTGCCAGTGGCATCCAGGAGCTGGTCACGCGTACTGCGTTGAGTGTACTCTTAGATGTCAGTTGCCCCTTTACAATTGCACTCCCTTAAACATATGGGTCAGTCTACCCACGGTGAGCTTCCTCTACTATTGCGACTGATGAAAGCAGGGCGACACTGGCCGAGGTGAACATCCTCCACCCAATCGGTCAGCCCGACCAGGGTTTCGAAAGGCTGACAAAGGCCCATCCTTCCTTTCAGAAACACCCAATTTTTCCCTGCCTGTTGATTTTTTGAAGAAAAGGATCCCTGAACAGAATAAGGCAGCTAGAGAAATACATGGGAGTCTCTTCTAACCGTTCCGAGACCGGGGATCCTTCTGTCCAGAAAACAAACAAAAAACAGGGGAGAACCGCGAGTTTTTTCCAAAAAGAACGAGGGCTGAAACGGTTGGGAAAACAATTCACCCATAGGATTGATGTCCACCAACAAATTTGAGCTGGTAACTCGGGCAACACGAGCAACCTTGGAGGGGTCGGCGCGGCAGGGCAAACTAGTTCTGTGGTTTCCATGTTGCATTTTGAGACAACCCGATTCTCCGTTGTTTCCTACTCCCCTGCTAAAAGTTTAACCTTTAGTGGTGCAATGGAAAACCTATTAGTTGGCAAAAAGCTAGAGTCCTAACATCCAAGCAAAATGCACCAAAGGATTTACGATCAAAGCTCCTTATGTGGGTTATGAACAGTATGGGGACAAACCTTCCAGTGCCTAGAGGTCCACCTTCCCGAGAAAGTCAGAACCGCAAGTATGTCAGGGGCTGGTTGCAGCAGTCCTTGCACGGGGGTCACTGGAACTTCCATTCAACTGATCAATTTACTGGTCACTTCCATTGAAGCTGCCACTTTGGGAGGTTCCAAAAAGGGAAACGGAAGAAACCCTGTTGCACTGTCCCTTTCGGACAAACTCCCCATCGCCTCTTCGTTTGATTGAAACGAGCATCCTTCGGAGCGATGCAAAGGGACCTACGAGCACCAGGCAGAGCTACAAGCGCTCCCCAAAAAAGACATGGGCGAATTGGGTCCCAGTGCCCGAATTCAATCTGGCTGTGGGTCAAAACCCTGTACCCCTGGTGAACATCAACAGGGATCCTTACATTATACACCTGAACATTGCCTTGTAAATGGTGGTTTCCCTTGATTTTGGCGGAAAAAGCCATGCTTCAAATGGTTGCAACATGTATCGTTTTAAGGAGACGTGATCAAAATGGGTGGCACATGGATGTTCATTCACCCCAAAATGGGATCGCCAAAGGTTATGCCCCACCATTTGCCTGAGTCCTTCAGGCCTCCCTTTTCCTTCCAAATCGTATTGTCGGTGACTCAAATGAGTTGCTTCAAAAGTCTGCGAACGTGCAAAATGCTTCCCCTTGAAATCAACCCGAAACAGGGTACCCGGAAAAACACGGATACACCCACACCCAGAGGTGTGGTCAAAACTCCTGGCCATGGTCATGGTTCTCTTGCTGGGCATCCTTATCTTGGTAGCCCAAATTCCCTGAGAAGGCTCCCTGACCATCCTTATTATCCCCTAAAATCAGAGGGTGCTTTGACTTGCTGACTCTCACCAGGGAATTTCGGAATGACCCCTACTGTGGATGGACGAAGTCCTGCATTCGAGGGTTTCTTAGGTGGTGCAGGAATTCGCAACCATCCACAGAATCATTCTTTCCAGTTTCCTTTAAGTGATTCACCACCCATTTTAGGACCTATTTTAGTGATTGGATTGGGATGTTCACTGGGGGTAATGGTGCCATTTTGGGGGATTGGTGAATTTTTGGGGCAGGTGAATCCCCTTCCGATTTATGCCCAAACTCCTTGCCGGCCAGCCAAGCTCCCCTGGCGCTTCCCACCTTCACCCGCAGCTCGCCCGGACGGGTGGAGTTGTAGAACCTCGGCGTGACACCCTCTGGAGTCCAGTGGAGGAAAGGCCTGCCTTTTCGACCCCAAGCTGTTTGTTGGACCCCAAAACCACGTAGGTCCTCCAGTAGAGAGGTTAGAATGAGGGTACCAACTTTTTTCGCAGTCTATTTGTGTAGGGGAACCCTCCCCAAAAAGGGGTGAGAAAGTGGCACCTAGCTGGGGGCCTAGTAGAGAGTCGAGAAATAGGTTGCGGGTTCCGAAAGCAGGGTCCCCCAAACTCAGTGCCCCAGTCGGCCCCAAATCAGGGGCCAACAAGTGTTTTTTGTTCTTTAGCAGATGTGTGGAGAGAGGGAAAAGGAAGTTGAACTCTTGGAAGCCTTGCCGCTACGGTGGACGCCCTAAATATTGCAAGTAAAATAAGGGTTTCCCTTGCTCCCTTGCAATATCTCGGGCACCCGCCGTATATTTCCAGGGCTTGGGGGTCCTTCGCCACATAAATTCCTTCTCCACGGTTTCCCACGTTGACTCGGGCGGCCGGCTGAAAGGAAGCTGTGCAAAAGGAACGCATGAACTAGGACCCCCTTGCCAAAAAAAAAACATCGCGCCGGGTGCGGGCAAAACAAAGGGAGCCCCAAAAACGCAAAAAACATGGAGTAACTCTGGGGAAGAAGTTAGCGCCAGACTAGTGGGACACATGAAACCCCCCTGCTTTGAACACGTTTCCCTGAGCGGTTGGCTTATGGAACAAAAGCATCTGAAGAATGTCTGCATCTGCCACGCAATTCTGTAGAGAACTGTCCAACAAGATACATCATACAAACAAAGCTCGCGGGAAAACTAGAAGCCACATTGGGAGTTGCTCCAGGTCGAGTTGTTTGGTCAAAAAATGCAGAAAACCTCGAGAATACTAACCTTGCTTCCGCTATCCCAGGGACCCTTTGGTGGACATCACAATCAAATTCAAAGCTTGCACTCCCCTGGTTTCATTTTGACCCACACCCCATATGAACATGGAACCAAAACACAAAGTCCCAACCAAAGCAGATGAAGCTCAAGGCAGGCTTCGAAGGTAAGCCCTTGGATGGGACTCTTTGGGGTCTCGGATCATTCTCGCCCCGAATGCCTGTGGTTCCGAGGAGAGTCCCAGTCAAGTCTCCAAAACGGAAAAAAAATCGGAAAGGGGCCAAAAGCAGATTCCTCCGGGAAAAAAAACGGAGTCCGATTTCTTCTAGCCTAACGACGTGTGATGTTTAAGACCACCAAAAAGGGGAAATAGAGGGAAAAACAAAAGAGGGCAGGCCAGAGTTATCCCAGTTCACGTCTTGAGGTGCATGCGTGATCCCCGTTTCCCTCGGCGTCAATTTGATTTTGAGGCACGAAGCAAGCTCTCCACACTGGGCTCCCCAAGCGGATTTTGGCCCCAGAGCAGGAGGTGTCTCCCCCCGACGGAAGGGACCTGCGCGGATACCCGTGCGTTGTTCCAACCCCCAACCCGCTATTGGCTCCGCAAGCAGAGAGATGAAACTTGGTCATTGTAAAAAAAGGAAGGAACATTGTGAACATGTTGTTACGTCTTGGCTTATGGGCCCCAACAGCGGGGGAGGGGGGGCAGGCTCCTTGGAAGTCTGTGGCCTGGGAGGTTGCTCTCTGAGCGAAGGAAAGCGGGGGGGAAAAAGAAGAAGAAAAAAAACGCGCCGAAACCCTCCCTAGAAAAACCAGTGGCTGGCCCCAAGGAGAGGCAATGGTCGGCATTCGTTGCCTTCGGAAAGGGTGCACGGTCGACCCCTGTAAACAAATCGAGGATTCATAGGGTATAACCCTCTATCAGAAACAGCCGGACTTGAAAACGTAAGTGGGGGTTATCGATTTCTCAGTTGCTCGGATGAGTTGCTGAGACTATCATTGGTTCTACTGGTCTGGGAGGACGAATTGTTGTTCCCAGGCCAGGGAAGGTTCATGTCTCACCAAGACTTTGACTTCCTGCTTGGGTGCTCGGCCAAGCTAGGAAGTGGTTAGTAACCTGGGTCATAACCTGCTTACAACCGGCCCAACTCACTCATAAGTAGGTTGCAACCTAGGTGACTAACCACTTACTAACTTGGCCGGGCACCCAAGTGGGGTGAGATCCAGGAAATTAGTCTGGAGACATCCAGGCAATCCATCAGGAGCCCTTGCGGGATCCTAGGCTTAAAGCGAGCTCACCTAGACTGGGTTCCACTTCCGGTCTGCGGAAGGTGGTTGGTGGACTGCAAGGTCAGCGTGCACTTCAGGGGTCCCCAAAATTGGAAAATGGACTTCCAGGTGTCAAATAAAACCCCAAACACGGCGCAAAATCACCACGGGAATCATGTCCACACTGGAGTGTCTTCCACCAAAGGAAACAAATGCCCCCAGTTGAGCCATGGGCATGCGCTGTCCGTGGCTCATGTGATCTTGCCAATGGGAGATCTAACTTACTCTCCAGAATCTGGTGCCCAAGTGCTTGAAAAATGGAGGACCCTAAACATGTTGTTCTCTTGGTGTCCAGTCAAAACCAACCAATTTGTGTTTGGGGGGGGGAGGGGGGGCAATTTCTATTTTTGGAGCCCGTTTCTTTGCCTACCCGGAACACTCAAACCCAGATGTCCCCCAAAATCCAACCCCCAGCCAAACCGGAGCTGCCGGGCCTCCGTCCAGATGAGCGGGTCATTTTGAACCTCGCCAAATCTGCGGATGGGCGAAATATGTCATAATATTAACCCCGGATTAATAAACCCCTGGTTGATTAATAGGGGGGTGATTCAGACCACTGTTGGAGGGAACACCCCCCTAATAATGGGACGGGTTTAATAAAGTGAATTCAAAAATCAGGTCCATGGATAAGAGTCATGCAATACTGACTACAATGGTTGCCGTGTTATACTTTTGGAAATCATGATCAAACATTAAACAGTTGGCAAACGTGATTTTAGCTGCTCAAGTTGTTTCAGTTTTATGGGAATTCAACCAAAAAATATCGATGTGAGTGCTTTGTAACGGGCCTCTTCAGAGGCAATCCTTCATTGGTTTGGATGGTGTTGGGGATTTGAATTGCGAGCGCAAATGGGAAATGGGATCACAACCCAATCCAAGTGTCAACAGATCTGGGAACCCCAAGAATGAGTGGTTTCCTTTTCTTACCCCTTAAAACTCCAAGCCCTGGGGAAGTTAATCTTTTACAGACATATAGCCCATGTTACCCCCAAAAAGTTGAAAAGTTGTGCTTTTAAGAGGTAAGTTTTGGCTCCCCTTTAACACAACCCCAACAGCGGGTGCCCTTCAAACACGACCATTCGTTGAAGCAGAGCCCTCACTCCTTGAGCCCCGCGCAGTGGTGCCCAACCCCACCCGGGACCGCAGCACCAGGTCCTGCTGGCACACGAGGTGTTGAGCTGGTTGAGTCAGCTTTCAAAGGGCTTTGAAGGTTCCCCTATCTCAAGACACCCATATAGATGTGTGCCGGGAGCCTCCAAAATGGAGGGGACATCCCCAGAGCCATGGTCGAAACTCCTATGGCCTATGGCCATGTCTCCCATCCGTACCAGGTGGATGACCATCCGAGTGTCGACCCGCGCAAAGGAACCGGCCTTTTGACCGTGGCACCTATGTTCACCCCGGATTTGTCTTAACCTGTCCTATTTTTCTATGGTGGGTGTTGACTAAACAAGACGTCTACCGGGGTCTATGAGTCATATTCTTCTATGGGGGGGGTGTTGCCTCCAGTCCCACTAAACAAAACAGACGCCCCCGTATGCATAAACTGCGGCTTGTTCATGCAGAGTGCCCATTAATTAGAGGCGTGTGTGTGGGTCAAAAAAGGCTGGTAAGTGGAAACATGGACGTTCAAACCTGCGGTCCAGTTCCTGGTGGTTTACATTTTGACCCACACTCATTTGGGTTTAACTCGGTGCCGAATGGGGTGTCTGCAAAAAACGCAGAATGCTTGTCCCATCCCATCCACGTTTGGTGTGTTTTGCAGGAGTGCCCGGGTTAAATCTTGACCCGTACCCAGGCCATGTACTACACCCCCTATGAATAAACTGGGGTTTATGAATCAACTGGGGTTTGTGAATCAACTGGGGTCTATGAATCAACTGGGGTTTATGAATCATCTGGGGTTTATGAATCCGGGGTTCCCATTCAAGGTCATGTACCACCAGCACCACCAGCACAGGTTTGACCCACCGAACTCCTCGCCACGCCGCTCCACCAGAGCGTGCGGCTTGGACCTGCGGCGCATCAAAAAAAAACAATCGGTTCGGTTCTGCGAACATGGTGACTACACCCAAAGGCAAAACTCAGTGTAATCTTGGAACCAAGGAATCTGTATGGGGAACCGCGCATTCAGGAAGCCAAACAAGTCAGTGCAAGAATTTGGAAATTTGAATGGGGACGCAGTAGGGCTTGCCTCTATCAATAAATTGCATGCCTTCTTTGCGAGGATGGGGGGCGGGGTTATACAGGTGGCACGCATTGAATTTGGCAACATTTACCCTTAATTCTGGGGAACGTTTACCCCAAATGCGTGGTAAATTGTCAGTGAATTCGGGGGGGGGAGGAAATTGGGGGTAAAGTTGGGGGCTGGGGGGATTTCAGTAAATTGGGGGGTACAATATTGGGGGGTATATGTGGGTGTAAATTTGAGGGGCAAATTGGGAGACATGTTGGGGGGTAATTTACGCGCGATTTTGTGCAAATATTATTTGTGGTAATTTACCCCGCAAATTTGGGGGAAATTTGGGGGTGACCAACGAGTCCAAACATTGGGGGTACATCCCATGTTTCCCAACGGAAAAAGCGAAGATTCGCCCTCTGGCCAAAATTCGGCCCGTAAACAAGTGCCCCTCGAATGGTCTGGGCTGGCAAAACATCCACGTGAGGGTCTCCAGGATCATCTTCCCCGCTCCAGTAGAGCCGCAAAACGAGGTCATCTATCTGAACCCGCCATGACGCCGCTGATCTCCTCGACATCCCCTGCGCAAGCTTGTCTCCGTTCCAGGCCCTTTTCGTCCACGCCTTGAGCCTTTGCCATCATGGCATTGTGCTTCATGTGGTCCAGAGACGGCTGCCATCCCATCGGGACACCTGTGGACAGCCGATCCTGTCTTAAGAGTCTCTTTGAATGTCCTGAACCTGAAAAGGTAGGAAGTTGATGGCCAGGCATCCAGGTAATCTTTCCTTTCAAAGGATCAAGAGGGTCAGCTGCATAGCCACAAAGACTACCACGTCTTTCCGGAAACCGCGAAACCGTCTTCAACATCATTGGGATCTGCCAGGCCCAGCTTGCGTGTGCCACCTCGATAAAACCGAGTGCCTTGCTGCTACCCTCCTCCTTGACTCCTACACTTCACACGTATACAGGGCATCCGCCAGAGCTTGGGAAACGTTCCGCAGTTTCGTCAAAGAGGTGCACTTGGATATATATATATATATATATGGTACAGCGTTGCCAGCCCCCCCCCCCTCCCCCCCCAATGGTCATGGGTCAGACAAGTACCCCCCCCCCCTGTGGTTGTGGTCCTGTGGTTGGGTTGTGGTGGTTTGGGGTTGGTTTAGAATTGGTTTAGGGTATATTTAGGGTGTATTTAGGGTTAGTTTAGGGTTGATTCAGGGTTGATTTAGGTTGCTTTATGTTGATTTAGGGTTGGTTTAGGGTTGGTTTAGGTTTAGGGTGTACGGTTTAGGGTTTGGTTTAGGGTGTTGGTTTGGGGTGTATTTAGGGTTGGTTTAGGGTTGATTTAGGGTTGGTTTAGGTTTAGAGGTCTACGGTTTAGGGTTTGGTTTAGGGTGTATTTAGGGATGGTTTAGGGTTAGTTTAGGGTTGGTTTATGGTTGGTTGCGGGTTGGCTTGTCCTGGGGGTGGGGGTGCCGGGGTGTCGGGGTGCGAGTTCAGGGGGGTGGGGGTGGGACCGTAGGTGCCAGGATCCGGGGGCTCGGGGTCTCGGGCCGGGGGGGGGTCCTGGGGGACCATACCATATGGGGGGGGGGGGGGGGTAGCAACACGGAACACGGGACCATATATATATATATGCATATATACATATACATATACATATAAATAACAATATGTATACATGAACGTGCAGTTGTGTCAAAATCTGGGGCGCCCCAAACAAGGCTTCGGAGTTCTCTCTTTTTTTCCTCCGTGGTAAAACCACCCCCCAAACGGGCGTTTGCTACCCATCCTCACAAACATAGACACATACGTGGCTTTTTACCTCAATTCATGGAACCAGGTTGAACCCCACCCCCACTGTGAATTAATGGAACCAGGTTGAACCACTGACGTCCTATGGAGTTGCGAGCGCTCATGTCAGTATGTTGATCCCATTCGACCAAATCGATCAGCGCAGGGGTATCACCCTCCAACTACCACACAAAATGCTGAACAACACATGGCTGTGGGTCAAAAAAGCGTACCAAAAATGGCTTGCCCCGGTAAATGGAACCAAAGACCAAATCCGCGGTCCGATTCCTAGTGGTTCTATTTTGACCCATACCCACATAACTTGCTGGCAGGATCTCATTGTCGAAGCTTGGTCCCTGATGGGAAACACCAAGTTGCTGGCAGCGTACTTTGGGAGCGTTGGTCATTTGGCTGTGGCTCAAAAAACCAGTACCAAACTGGAACCCTGGCAAGTGGAAACATGGACCCAAACCTGCGTAACCCCTCCTGTTTAATTCTGAGCCACACCCATTTGAAGACCAAGGGAGCACCCGTATTGGAGGAAAACCAAACACTGTGGGATATATTTTTTTTTTGGGGGGGGGTGATTATGACAAACACGTTGTGTCCAAACCGGCACCTGGTGGGGAATGACTTTGAAAGAAAACCAACATTTTCACCGAGCACTCCCCTATTCTGTTCAGTGATATAAAAGATTGCCCAAAGCCCTAAACCATTTGATGGCTTCTGCAGGAACTATCTGTCCATTAGCAACGGGAACAACCGATTGCTCGACTTTGAAGAGACCCTGAGACCCTGCTCAGAACACCAGCGAAATCTGAGCGCTGTGTTGGATTCTGGGCCAAATTTCAGGAAACCGCCTTGTCCGAAGTGTTCAGACGCCTTGAAACGTCCTGCGATAAGTTGGAATGAAAACGCTGGTGTGGTAGGACTACCCAGAATAGAAAGAGAGAGTTCTGGGGGTCGAAATCCCCCCTCCCAAAAAATTATGCAGAGCGTGTGGGGACAATGCATTCATTCCATTGATTGCTCAACTTTGATGGCACCTGCTTTAAGGTTCCACCACCACAACACTCACCCTTATCGCCACTGCCCTGCCTGCAAAAAAGACCCCAGGGTTCGCCTTTTCGCCTTTAGCTCAGACGCCCCCCAAAAGTCGCGAGACGAGCCGTGAAAACGGGCAAGGGCGTGATCTCCTCTGGGGACTATCCCATCTGAGCGCTTTGAGGAAATCCCTTAATTACATGGGCGCTTGGGCAACGAAATGGGGGGCACACGTCCTCAAAATGCCCCAATAGCACCACAACCACACCCCGCCTTGGGGCAATATGCCGTCTTTCTGGGCAGGGAAGGTACCAAGCATCTCATTTGGAGACACTTACAGATGCGTCCGTTCGGCTTTGCCGTCGGCTGAGGCTGGCACGACATCTTGAAGCACAGGGTGTCCGGCCGAGTGTCCTGGTAAGCTTGCAGAGGGTGGCGGTCCATTCCAGGAGTCGTCTGCCCCGAGTTAGGTGCCGATCTGGCAGAGACCCCCGCTATTTCAGGAACTGCCAAGGAGAAACATTCCAACCCAACTGCCACCTAATGTGAATGTCAACCAAAATTTGGAACCACTATTCAGACTATTGTCACAACTTCCTTGTGTTTTCCCCCCTTCAGTCGGCCATCAAATTCAACCACACGAACCCTTTAGGAAATCTCTTAACACTTGAAAAACCCCAAAAAAACTGGAGTTCCCTTTTCCCCCCCTTCTCCCCGAATACAAAACGTGCAAGCCCCATGTTTCGGGGTACCCAAGCGCCCACCGAAACCCAAACACCGCACGTGCGAAGGACGCTCTCCTCGTGGTGATCTCCGCCCTGCCGGAAGGTCACATCGTGAGGCTCGCTGGCGCCCCTCGGGATGTCCACCTCGGGGCGTCCGTGGCGGCAGTTTTGGTGGACGTCAATGGGGACCAACGTGGGGTGGGGCGATTTGCTTGACGTCGAGGGGTTGTCTCAAAATTCGGTACCTCCATTTTTTTCAAAAAGGTCGGTGTCCTTTTGGCTTTCTTTTGCAAAGTGGGACCTCCAAAAAGGTCGGTGTCCTTTTGGCTCCCTGTTTAAAACCAACAGGAGGCTTCTAGAAACAATTCGATAGGCAGGAAATAAGAAACGGAACGGGGTCGAGAACAAACCAGCCCCGATTTGGCTTCCGAACAAGGGAAACCCCAACTCGTTCATTCCCAACACCCGGAAGGTCATTCCCTCCCGAGCAGCAGCAAGAAAAGCAGACCCGGCTTGTTCGTTCTTCTAGGGTCGAAATGACATGATTCTCAAGTTGCTTTTTGAAGTACCACCCCCTACTCCAAAACCCAACTATTTTCAGGGTATCATGTCGACCCTCCACTAAAAAAGGAGGTTTTTACCATGGAAAACCAGGTTTTCCCAAAAAGACCCTGAAAAAAGCGGGTATTCTGAGTAGGGGGCATGCAACCCCATTCCAAGTATTTCGGCCCCTCCGCTTTGGCCCTTCGGCGGACCAAAACCAGGGGCAGTACCATGGCTTTAACCAAAGGCCTCACCCGCCCCTAAACCCGAGGTCCACAAAAATGACCCTCCTGTCCACTGACATGGAACCCACCAAAGGAATCCTTGTGAAGGAAAAGTGAGGTTCCTTGGGTCAGAATCTGCTTCATATTTCGTCAACCTTGAAAGTCCCTCAGGACTCAAAAACATTCAAAGACCTTGCGCACAAGAGCTGAACCTTAGGAGCAACCCTGAATAAACAGGGAAACGCGGGCCATTTGTTCTTTCGGATTCCGCTGGAAAAGCTGCCCACGTCTTTCCAGCCACATGTTCTATTTTCGGCCTTTTCCTGGCAGCTTCCTTTGGCAGTCCAACGGCAAAGCGAGGAAACCTTGAGCCGTGGGCTCTGTAGATCCGCGTCTCCTGCGTGAAGCCGCCAAAGTCCTACGCGGGGAAGGCGTGCTGCGGCTAGGCGTGCTGCGGTCGTGATTTTCGGGTTGGGGTGAAAGGGCACTTGGCGATTCAAGGTGCGGACTTCAAGTAGTGTTGACCCCGGACTACTAAGCCCTCCTATATTTTGTTTTTGGGGGGGTGTTCCCTCCAAACGTGATGAATCCCCAATAAAAGGGGACCGCCTATTTCCTTTAAAACCATCCCAGCTTGCTTGCTTTCTTGCTTGCTTGCTTGCTTGCTCCCTTCCCTTCCCTTCCCTTCCCTTTCCTTCCTTTCCTTTCCTTTCCTTTCCTTTCCTTTCCTTTCCTTTCCTTTCCTTTCCTTTCCTTTCCTTCCTTCCTTCCTTCCTTCCTTCCTTCCACCCTTTCTTTCTTGCTTCTTTCCTTTCGTCCGTGTTTTTTTTTCGTTCCTTCTGTTCTTTTTGTTTTTCTGGTTTCTTTGTTCATCTTGCGCTTTCCTTTGTTCCTTTCTCTGGGGGTGGTGCCACCTGCTACCCCCCTCCCGCCGACGAAGAGAACGACCTTTCCATCCCCCCACCCCAGCTCGCAAAGATAGTTGATGGCTGGAAGCAATATGGCTGTGGGTCAAAAATAGGTTAACCCCGAAATGGACCCAATGAAACCAATGACTAAAACCTGCCGTCCCCTGGAGACCTATACCCATAATATGTTTGCTGTCGGGGGTTTAGTTTAACCAAAGACCAGATTTGCGCCTTCAGCTTGATCCGTCCTTCACCCGCCTTTGCCGGCGAATGCCCTTGTGACCGCCGTAGAAGAACCTCAGCACCGCTGAAACCACAGCAAACATAGCCTTGGCTCAGACCCCTAACATTCGCAAGCACCAGCAAACTCCAGGTGCAGCTTGAAAGCATGTCATGCAGAAAGAAGATGTCGGAACATGTTATTCTCCCCAAGAAATGCAAACGTTTTGCTCTTCGTCCCGATACCTTCCCTTCAAAACAACCTACCGAAAAGCAGACCGAACCTAGAAAGACCGGCTGGTGTCGTCAAGTTGTCGCAGCTTTCCTTTCCACGTCATGAACTTCAAAACGCAGGCACGTGTCATCAATGAAACTACAAAGGGGGCGCCACTTACAAAGTGTCCGAGTCACCAAGCACACGCAGGGGCCACAAGCAGGGAGACAAGTGGGGAGCCGCGACCGGTCCCAGTCATGAGGACAAGGTCAGAGTCAGCAGCACCAAGCCCAAGCGGGCAGACAAGCGGGCAGACAAGCGGGGAGACGAGTGGGGAGACAGCACTTGGAGCAATTCTTGAAGAACAAAAACTGTTCGAGGTTAAATGGACAATGTTGGTGGCAATTGAGGCTCCTTAGCTCCCGATGAAGTCGTTTTTTTTGCGTATCCCTGGCGCCTTGGCTCCCCCAAATTCCATGGCCGCATTTCAACTCCTGCTTCCGAAGCTGGTTTTTGACTGGCCAAACCCTGGTATCTTCCACGACCCCGAACTTGTTCTTCAGGGAGACTTCCCGTTCTAGTGAGGAATCCTTTCTTCCAGAGAGACCACCCAAAAACTGGGCGTGTGTGTGTGTGTGTGTATATTTCTCAGGGGTCAATACGTCAGACCGAACTACGACGCCGCTTTTTCCAGGCCGAGCTGCTTCTCCAACTTCACGGCCAGTGGCACCTCCAGATGCTTCCCCGGGGGCTTCTGCATCTCCTGAGAGCCATGAGCCAAAGCCACCAGATCTGGGTGTGTCTCTTTTGAGCTTGGACTGTCTGTTTTTCGGGGAGCCCTTTTTAAAACCACGAAACAGGGGTGACACGCCCAATTCCACGACCAAAAAGAAACAGAACCGACCCGGTTTCTTGAGTTGCTTTCCAGTGGATGTCCGCGGAAAACCAAAAAAGGCGCCCTGGCTTTTGCCCGATTACTTTAAAGGGAAGCCGGAAGCCCCTACAAAAAAGCATGAAGAAAAGCGGCACCACTGGGTGGAGAGAAGGAGAAGGAAAAGGTGGGAGTTAGAAGGAATGCTCTTCTTTTTGGGGTGCAAATGGATTTCGTCCACTTCCAAGACACGTTCAAAAGGCCCATAGTTCCCTTGCCAAGCTGGTAATTCGTCTTACTTGAGAACAGAGGACCACGCAACGCTACGAACGTTCAAGCGTGACTCCATGATTTTTGTGGACTCCAGCGAACGAAAACGTACACTTTCGGCAAGAGCCGAGGGCAACATGTGGCTGCCGCAAGCTTGCGCCAGTCAGGTGAAAGCAATTCATGGGGAGTCCGTGTGGCACCTGGATACATGGTTTCCTTCTAAAAAACAAAAACAAACACAAACACACAGACTCACAGACACAGAGGCCCAAAGACACACAGACACACACACACAGACAGAGACACAGACACAGACACAGACACAGACACAGGACGCAGACGCAGACAGACAGACGCAGACACAGACCCACACGCAGACGCAGACGCAGACGCAGACCCAGACGCAGACACAGACCCACACGCAGACGCAGACGCAGACGCAGACCCAGACGCAGACACAGACCCACACGCAGACGCAGACGCAGACGCAGACCCAGACGCAGACACAGACCCACACGCAGACGCAGACGCAGACGCAGACCCAGACGCAGACACAGACCCACACGCAGACGCAGACGCAGACGCAGACCCAGACGCAGACACAGACACAGACACAAACACAGACGCAGACGCAGACACAGACCCACACGCAGACGCAGACACAGACACAGACACAGACACAGACACAGACGCAGACGCAGACGCAGACGCAGACACAGACACAGACGCAGACGCAGACGCAGACGCAGACGCAGACGCAGACGCAGACGCAGACGCAGACGCAGACGCAGACGCAGACGCAGACACAGACACAGACACAGACACAGACACACACACTTCAACTCCCAAGGGAGGGTGCTAATCCTTCGAGTACAACTGATGAGTCTCGAGTACAACTGATGAGTCTCAAGTACAGCTGATAAGTCTCGAGTACGATGAGTTTCGGCTCGCAAGACGCTTGACTTTCCGGTAGAATCGAAACCGCTACAGAATCAACATGAAGCACACACAGCGAGAGAAACAACGGGCCAAAAGGACTTTACATCACCAATTCCAAATGTCGCAGGTACGCCGGATTGATCAGATCCGGTATCCCATGACTGAGGTAGCTTCGTTGAGTGCGGTCCCTCAGTCATGCCGCGCTCCCCTGCGGTTGAAATCATAAGCAATTGTGGTGGCAGGGTATTCTGCCACTCCGCACACACACGCCCCTCCACGAGGGGCGTACATTCTCTTTTGCCTCCGGAAGATCACGTGCTCAACTCCCTAACGTCTACCAAAATATCCACAGCGGCGGGGAGAACGAGAAATTGCACGCTCTGGAAGACGGGGACGAAGGATCTCCAAGTTGAGCAGGAAGTGTGCCGCCATAGAAGACCGGCGGAAGGTGCAAAGATGACGGATGTGCAACGTCGGACATGGGCGGGGCGTAGGTGAACATTTCCTCGACCTGGATGGAGATGTGGGGATTGTGTAAGCCATCAAGTAGTTGATCCGGAGCATGATGGGTGGAGAATGACTCATAGCGGGACAATACCCGTTGGTATCCTTGATGTTGCCAATCTCGAATAGTCCATGCTTGGCCTGGTTCATGCGTCTTCTGGATCGGTCACCCGTTTCCACTCCCGAAAAGTGTTCTCTGGCAGGTCAGGTTGTCCAGGAATATAGATCCGCACCCACGCACGTCCCTGCCAGACTGAATACTCCAGCCACGGGTGCTGGATGTCAGTCCGGGCCGACGTCTGAGTTGCATCATCTGTATCCATGTCGAAGTGAAAGATAGGGCGCACCACAGGTTCCGATCCAGCACAACCATGCACAACCAACAAGCACACATGAAAGCAAGAGAACGTGAAAGCACCATTTTGTACCACGGTCAAAACTCATCCGTCTACTCAGCAACTTGCTCGAAGATTGGCTTCTCCTTGGTGGCAGAGCTGCTTGGTTGGCTTGCGGGCAGATAGGGATCAGCGACCTCAATAGACTCAGGCGGATCAACGCCCCGAGAAGTACGCACTGGTTGGTGCAGTTGCGACGCTTGACGCGCGCGATCCGACAGCTGCTGACCGATCCCTGCTTGAAGACGAGTGAGATCCTCAGTAGAGAAAGCCGATGCATCCGAAGATCGAAGAATCGCGTCCAACATCTGCGTAGACAGATTGCGTGGCCACGTCGTGCTGATCGGGAGAAAACATCGAATTGAAGCCGTAGTCAGGTTCAGGAGCTGCGACGCGCCGCTAACCTTCTGTGGTCCAGTCCCGCTTGTACCAAGTACTGCTGGTGGGTTGAACACCGTCATGAGCATGATTTGGGGCATAGAACTCCTTCCATTCCCTGTACGTATGACGTGGAGGAGGGTCATCACGTTCGTCTTGTGGTGTCCATGCCCCTGGATGGAAAATCTTAACCTATTGAGCGTCAGGTCGCTGAGGATCAGGGCACCATTCTAGCCACGGCATGATGATCGATCAGTGATGCACATGGCTGCAGGATACAAACACGGTACAAGTCAATCAAATTCGAGGCCCTAGACAATGCACTCAAGACGCAAGACGCAACAAGCACAATGTTTTAAGCAACAATCTGCCCAAGCATCAATGTCACTCGTCCCAGTCAAAATTAGGATCGTAGCTCGGTGGGGGAGAAGGTTCACGCCAAGCGCCATCCGTACACGAGATCTGGCGATCCAATGTTTGGCCGTGGGTCACCAAGGCGTTGGTATCCCCGCGTGTGCCAATCTCGATATCGCCACGTGTAAAAGGACACGTAGGAGACCCAGTGCGAGGGCATCCGCAGTGGTGTCTCCTGTGCTGTCACGAGGCCAATACACGTCAAAGTGGTAGACTCTGCGCCATTCACGATATGTGGACGCGTGGTCCGGAGCTGGGCCTAAGGTGGATTCTGCCACAGGCTGCCACATGCCCGGTGTGTAAACACGAATCCATTCCACTCTTGAGTTCCCAGGGCCACGCACGATATCGTACTCAAAGTAGCGCGGGAAGGCCCACCTCGTTTCCAAATGTCGAATTAAGCATGACAACCGAATGCGTCTCCGTGAAGCAAAGCGTCTGACAACCCATGCACAATCAGCAAGCAATGCAGACCAACTTTACACACACAAGGCTGCACGGCACCTGTTCACTGTCGTTGATGACGTGCGCATCTGCAATGGAAGTGTCCTGGTTGACGTCTCACACAAGGGGAAAGACACTTCCGTCCATGATGTATAAAGGCATGGCAGTAATGCTTGCATCTTGTAGTTCTGGACCGTGTAGCACGAGTAGACCTTTTGGGAGTGAACACGGTGAAGGGTCGTCGAGAATATTGCTCTGCAGTGGTTGATGCGGCACCTTTCAATGCGCGAGTGCGCTTTGGAGTGCGCGTGAGGCTCCGAAGAGTTGGTCCGCACTGCGACCTGACCGACGTGTGCGTTCAGAGGTCATAGTAGCCGGGCAGGATTGTCCTCGGGGGGATGAAGTGGGTGAAGTCCGTAATGAGGGCAAAAACTGCGGGTGGAGGATCTCCGGTGGCGGTGGTGGTGGTGGAGGTGGAGGAGGTAGAACCAACTGTGGTGGAGGTGGCGGTGGTACCGGCACCCGCATTAGCCTTTCCGCTTGAACTCCCGGTAGGTGATCATGAAGTGAGGGTCCGTGATACTGTAACCACGTCGGCTGCACTCCATGGGTCCAGGTTATGAACGTCTGAACATCTTGTTCCATCATGACTTGAAACCTCAAGACAGCAAGACAAGGAAAGCAAGACAACAAGTCCGACACAATACACAACCACGCAGAAATATTTTGACGGCGCCAACGCTGCAAAGGTGTCTAGCTGCGTGCCTCAAGTTGCTGATAAACCTTCCATGCTTGCTTGACTTCCTCCGCGGGCTTTTGGAGGGAGCGGGCAATATTCTTGTAGGTGGGTCTGGCGTCCTTGTCTTTTTTGCGCCTGACCATCTCATCCAGCTCACCTTGTGTCCACGCCGTGAATGGTTCATGGTACGCATTGCGGAGGGTGAACTCCTGCAAAAGTTCCCGAGGGCCATGTACCACTGTTGGTGACGGGCGAAACGATGAAGCACCAGGATGGGGACGGACAGAACCGTCCGAATCCGAATCCGGAGAAGAAGAAGGCGTCATCACCGGTCCACGATCGGTGTTTGCCGCGATGGGAGCGGGTACTCTTGGTTGGGGAAGCCGGTCAACAAGAGCATCTGGACGAAGATCATGATCTGTTCCCGGGCCTGGAACTTCACGACGTACATCTCGAGGGGGCGACAGCTCAGGCATGTACCAGGTCGAGCGTAGTCCGTGTCTTGAGTTGCGTGGCGGCCTGGGAACCATCCGGGGATCGGATTCCGAATTCCGATCTACCGCAAGGGCAAAGTTCAAGGTGTCCAAAGCTGTGGCAATCTGGGAGGCGAGAACGTTGAGCACTGCGACCAGGTTATTCACAAACTCCGGAGACAGCCACATGGCAAGCGTAATCAATGCAAGGACAATACAAGGAAAAGGCGGCTGCGAGTCACCACAAGCAACTCAAACTGGCATGTGTTTCGGCTGCATCTGAAAGCTGAATGCCTTTTACTGTGCGCCGAGCTTCAACGGCCGCGTGTGAGTCTG